AGAACTTATTTGACAGATTGTTTTCATATGCTATGTCGGCCAACACGATTAAATAAGCTATTAAATAAGCTAATGTTTGGTAGAAAAACTGATAAGCAAAATACCAAACAAGCACTAGATTTGTGTTCCATGTCTAAAACATATGTATAACCTTTGCAAATTTGCTTTTAAGCTCCGTAGTCCAATCTCCAAGTGTACGTATATGGACGCTTAGGTAGTTGTCATCTGGTGCAGAAGTGATTGAGAATGGATGCCTGGAATAGAATGGGGGGGTCTTAGCATATAGAATGCAAGCAATACAAGTGTTCAAGTGCTCAAAAACATTATTCTTATCCACTTACCATTCAAAGCTTGATATATCATAACATTTTACAAAAATGTACATTCCGCTTTTATACTTGAATGCTGGAGGCTTACTCATGTATAGTGCTAATACATTTCCTGTATATATCACTGCCTGTAAATTATTCCGGAAAAAAATTAACTAAATGTGCATAAAAAGAAGTTTAGATTAAATTTCTCTTGACAAAAAACTGAAAAGCTTCAAGTTGTACAACCTTTATGATGTCCACATCATATTTATTTTCATACATGACAAAAATTCTTTCAGCCGCATATGCTAACGCAGGTACTATAATATACATCCATGTCTGCAATGAATTACTCATTAGTCATTATATGATACAAAGACAAGTAATTAAGTATAAAAAACTATCTTAATGTGAGATGATTTAGCAAAACAAGCATAACCAAGGAGAATATGGGTGTACCGTCTTTTTATACCATTCTTGTGTGAGGAATATAAAGTAGCCGTGGAAGATAAGGAGAATGTAGACTACTATCAACAGATGGTGTGTATACCAAAAAGAATTGAAACCAGCTAAATGATGGAGGGGTGGGGGCAGCTTGATGACATTCCTTCTGAAAGAATGTGTCGCCAATGTGAAGATAAAAGCCATCAAAATAGTCATAATAATGCCTGTTAAACTCGGTATTGATGCAACCAGGTTAGGGTAAGTAGGTTGCCGATATCCAAAAGGATATCCGAGAATTGCCATGAATTTACTCTGAGGGCATGACACCATTCTAAAGAAATTGCAACTAATATGCATTGATGCATGAACAAAAGTTGCAATCACTATTGCAAGGGCGATGATCTTGTGGAAGATGATGTTGTCATCAAACGGGATTGTTGCACCGATGAACGATTCTCTAAGGGAGGTCAGTGTTCTTCTGCACACAGGGAGGAGAATGAGAGCCATGTTGAACTTAAGTGTCTCCCCAGCACCTTTGGCAATGCAAACACAATAGCCCATGATTTGGAACTCCGCTCGGTGCTTGAATTGGTTGAACTTCCAAACGAAGAGTGTCATATTGATGCACACCCACAATGTGAGTACCCATATTTGTTTCCACTTTTCGTGTATCTTTTCTCTTGTTGTAGACATGAATTTGCTCACCGGATGCCTATATTGTTTCGGGATCATGGTTCTTGCCAATGTATGTGTTTTCACGTAGTTCTCTCTCCCATCTTTTGACCCCACAATTTCTCTTAGTAGAGTTTCAAGTTTCCACATCTGTTTCATTTAAAAAAATCATTAGCTCCAAAGCGGGGATGATTAAGACTAAAATTTCAACTTTAGAATAAAATATATGAGTAGTACCCTAAGACTATATTTTAGTTTATATTTTTATATTTATCTATGTGATTTGATGGAGGATTATCCATAGATTTTATTAGGAAGTGAAAATTTGTACCTCTAAGTATCCATTATGATCAGGATCTAGCTCTTCCATTATCAAAGTAGCATAGGACTCCGCATTTTGTTTAAAAGTTGACAATTTGTTGGCAGAAGCACTCATCACTAGAACCTTATTCCACAACATGTTTAATAGGCTGTTGAAAGAAAACCATAACTCACAAGGGAACTTTTCTCACCTCTTTTACCTCTTCTTCAGATAGCTTTCCATCACCATTCTTGTCACACCTTTAAAATTCAAATAATTAAGTCTCTTATTGATAAATATTATGTTTCAAAATTGTATCCTAATCCTCATAGATTTGACGATTAAAGAGAGTATAGTATCTCATCCCGAATAACAAAATGCAACTAATTGCTTACATGTCAAAGAAAATGTGGAGGCGTGTATCGAGATCTTGGTCTGTCATGTCTTCCCAAAATTCTCGCATTTTGTCGATAGTAATCCCATTCTCTGCTTCAATCTTCCTCCGCCTTGCTAACGCATCGAATAATTCACCTGCAAATTCCTTGCTGTCTCCCATTCCTTCAATCCAAATTGTACATATAAACTTTTAGAAAACTAACATGTATGGCATTGGACTACATATTTTATGAAAGTTAATATTGAATTCATCATTCATTTATTTAAAAAAGATAAAATGGAATGAAAAAAATATACCAATGCATGTCCCAAATTTGTCCCTGTAAAGCCTCCCAGATTTTGCATTTTGATGGAAATGTTTCTCAATAGTTTTCCAGGCATCTGCTTCCTTCCCTGTGATTGATCTATCAAGAAACCTTAGACCATTGAACCCTCTGGATGCACCTGATTGAATGGGGACATCATTCATATTATCCGTCTCAACACTTCCAAGGATCCATTTTACAGATTCCCCTCTCTTGAATCGTGCATTGCCAGCCGCCATTGATGCAAGAAGTTGCCAGATTGAGGATGAAGATTCATGCCACACTGGGAATTATTTCTTGATCTAAGGCATATGTTTTGGTTGTGAAATGTCAGAGCCATTTTTGTTATTTCTTTTGTTAAATAATCCTAATATCTCCTTCCTCACAACACCCGGGAACAAACACTGATTTCATAAATGAAAATACAATCACATACTAATTTTTTGTTTCCTGTAATATGTGAATATAGAAATTTCACTTAAAAATGTAACCTATCAAATACCACTTAACTATTATTGGTATATTATACACAAAGACCAGACATGTCGGATTCTATGCATGTATGTGATTAGAGTGGCACGGCCGATCACCCCTAATGATTATAAAAATTTAATTTTACATAAATTGGTTTCATGTATGCAAAATTTTACTTTTTTACTCTAATTGGTACATAAATTGGAGTACTTTTTTTCAATATTAATTTGATATCTTCATCCAAATTGTTCTTCAAGGTAATTTTAAAGAATAAGACAGCTAAATATAGCTTAATTTAGTTTTACATCTTACGAAGTATTTATTAACATATTAATGATTAAATATTGCTTTTTAGAAACGGTAATAAAAAAGTCATTGATTTGATACTCAGAATGTCCAGTTTATAAAAACGGAATTGTTGTAGTTTTGAACTTATTTTTAGTAGCTAAAAAATGTAATATATTTTGAAAGTATTAAAACCAATGTTCAATAAATCATCAAGCTCTAGTTAGAAGGCTCTTAGATATAGTTCAAGTCGACCTATATATAAAACTTATTTATAACTTAAAATTAAGACAAATGTAAAAAAACCTTAAAATTAATACATTATCAACGTACTCCTTAACTTTTTGAAGATCACTTTTTAAAAGGAAATCGTCTATTTATAAAATCAAATGTGATTACAACCATAGCATTGCAAAGACATGTCCAATAATCGGACTGTTTGTCCCTTTCTCAACAATCAAACATAAGAACTGAGAAGAGAAGCAACAGATTGTATACGGGAAAACTCTCAAATAGGTCCTCGAACTTTCATAAAAAGGTCAAATAAGTCCTTATATAAGAGGCTCTGTCCGGCCGTCGCAATTTGGGGCGGTTTCCGGTGGAATTTTTTGATGAATTTTTTTAGCATCTTATTCATCAAGTCTAGTTTACTCATACCAAATTTCAGCTAAGAAAACGGGAGTCACTTATCAAGCTTTTTAATGAGTGGATTCAAGAAATTGGTCTCAAAGTGTCATAAAAGTTGTCACCGACGCGACGATGTTGAAAATTATGGGTTAGCGAAGAGGAAGATTGAACAAAGATATCCACATATCTTCACAATGGGATGTGCAAATCATTGTGTTGGCCTTGTTCTAGAGGACTTTTCAAAGAAGATGCAGATTGTTAGAAGGACTGTACTAAGACATCGCAAGAGATTACTACCTGTATCTACGGCCACACCCCTGTTCTGGACTTGATGAAAGAATTTACTAAGAGGAGAGAGCTAGTTAAACTAGATGCATGTCACCCAATTTTTCACTAACTTATTAACTCCGCAAGGTCTTCTCACTCAAAAACACGCATTAAGGCAAATGTTTGCTTCACCAAAATGGTTTGAAAGTGAGTTTGCAAAAACCACTGAAGGTCAAGCTTGTTCTGATTCAGTTTAGTTGTAAATCTTTTGGAGAAGTGTTGCCTATGTTATGAAGATTTCTTTGCCCGTAGTGAAGGTATTGAGAATTATGGATGAAGATTTGCCTCCAATAGGTTTTATATATGAAACTATGGAGAGAGTGAAATATGGAATTAAAATCACATTTGGAGGTAAAGAAGAGAAATAAATGCCTCTTTGGTGTTGAGCGTCATAAGGCGCGACTGGTAGCACAGGGATTTACTCAACAAGCTGGTGTCGATTTTTCGGAAACTTTTAGTCCTGTGGTTAAACCCACAACTGTTCGTATTGTCTTATCCCTTGTTGTTTCCTTTGGTTGGACTATGCGTCAGTTAGATGTCAAAAATGCTTTTCTTCATGGTAATTTAACAGAGGAAGTTTATATGCGTCAGCCTCCTGGCTTTGTTCATCCTCAATTTCCTAACCATGTGTGTCGTCTGAAGAAAGCTATATATGGTCTCAAACAGGCTCCAAGAGCCTGGTTCTACAGGTTTAGTAGTTTTCTTTTAACTCATGGTTTTGTCTGCAGTAAGTCTGATAATTCTTTATTTATTTTTCGGCAAGGGGGTCATATTCTCTATTTGCTCCTCTATGTCGATGATATTATTATAACTGGTAATTCCCCATCTTTCATCACTCATTTTATTTCTTGTCTGGGTCGCCACTTTGCTATGAAAGATCTAGGGGATCTACATTTTTTCCTGGGTGTCCACGCGGTCCGTCTGTCTCAAGGGTTATTTCTCTCACAAAAGAAATATGTGTCCGATTTATTAGCCAGGTTTCATCTTCATACTCTTAAACCAGTTCGTACCCCTCTTCCTTCTAGGACGAAACTATCTCTCACTGATGGTGACCTTCTGGCGGATCCTACTGAGTACAGGAGTATGGTAGGTGCTTTACAGTATTTGACTATGACTAGACCTGATATTACATTTGCTGTTCACCTGGTTTCCCAGTTTATGTATGCCCCCCGTACTTCACATATGTTGGCTGTTAAGCGTATTTTTAGGTATCTTCAGGGGTCTCCAGATCATGGCCTGTTGCTTCGGCCACATGCTTCCTCTCCTACACTACAGGCTTATTCTGATGCTGATTGGGCTGGGTGTCCTGATAGCAGTCGTTCCACTTCCGGGTTTGCTATATTTTTGGGGCCTAACTTAATTTCTTGGAAGTCCAAGAAACAACCTACTGTATCCAGATCTTCTACAGAAGCTGAGTATAGGGCGATAGCTTACACAGTCCAGGACACACTGCATATCCGTTCGATTTTGTTCGAACTTGGAGTACCTATACGCACGCCTGTTCAATTGCTTTGTGATAATGTTTCTGCTTCTTATCTATCTACAAATCCGATTCAGCATGCACGCAGCAAACATATTGACATAGATTATCATTTTGTCTGTGAGCGTGTTTCTCATGGAGACCTGATAGTACGCTATGTTCCTACACAGTTTCAGCTAGCTGACATCTTCACCAAGTGTTTATCTCCTCAACGGTTTATTTTTCTTAGGGACAATCTGCACGTTGTATCCCCTGCACAGATTGAGGGGGTGTAATAATGTAGTAATTACCTAAAATAGGGTTTCCATATTTTGTTGTTTCCTATTGTATTTTGGACACTTATTCTATTATAAATATGACATCCAGGGCTACCTATGGGTAAGCCATTCCATTATTTCCACATTTGGAAGATAATCAGGAAGTGTTGGAATGAGAACCTTCATTCTCCATTACATGCAACGGGGATACTATCTCAATCCTCGATTCTTCTACCCTTAATTCACGGCGAATTCTCGGAGATGAACAAGTATGTGATGGTTTTATAAAGTGTGGAGAAGATGTTGCCCACTAACATTGGAGAGAGTGTGGAGTTCTCAATTGAGATATCATACTACACAAATGCAAGAGGAAGTTTCCAAACGTACCAATATGGAAATGAACAATAGGGACACACAACCACCTGGTATTCTTATTTTGATTACTTATAATTTGGTAATCTATAAATGTAGTAATCTGGTCTTAAGTATTTTAGTAGTAACTAAGAAATACAAATTGACTTTCTGCTTGCATGAGAACTTATTTTGTAGCTATATAGAAATTTGATTTCAACTTTTTGGAATAATCTGGACACGTCTAAACTACAAATTTGCAATCCCTTTTCCTGGAAATTTTGAAATATGAAATAAGATAATGTGAATTGTGAGTTTTTAAATGATAATTGGGAAATCTGAGACCTACTCTAATGCCATACAAACTATGAGTATAAATGTAAGTCTTTTTAAAGGTGTGAGAACATAAGGCAGTTGACTAGTAATGGTGTAAATCTAAAATTTGAAAACCTGAAATTTGAGTATTATTTTCTAGAAAATTGATTAACATTTGGTTGACATTTGAAATTGTAGTTAATTAATGGCTTGCAAACGACTCCTCCACTTTGCAACATCTTGTTGTTCGGATCCTTAATTTAACTTGCAGTGCTTCTGGATGTGAACGAAACTGGAGTGCTTTTGAAAATGTAAGTTCATAAAATTGTCTTTCATGTGTAGTTTACGTTATCAGTGATTGATTTATTATTATCTACTCATTTTAGGTTCGTAGCAAGAAAAGCACAAGATTTCTTCCAAAAAATGAATGATTTGGTATACATTCGGTAGAATCAACATCATCAAGATCGAGCTATGAATGAATTGATGAGGTTGCCGAGCAAAAGAAATGGAAACTAGAGTGTAGTGGAACTTTTTTGGAATACTATTTTTTGGAACTATTTTGACTGCACATGTTTTGGCTAGAATGTTGTTATTCAACTTTTTATATCATGTTTCGGTGGTTGGGTGATACAAGTATAGTGTCTATAATTCGTTATTTAGTTTTTTTGTCACGTGGTGATGCCATATTTTTGTCATCGCCATTTATGCATGTGCGCCATTGATATCGCCATGCGCCATGACAACTATGCTTCCAACAATTTAGCTCACAAGGTTCTAAATGTGACCATGGCTGTGTGGTCACAAAATAGTTATTGGACTACCTTCAAATTGAGTCACGGGAAGGCTTCTCACCAACAAAGAATTCATAGAATTCATAGCTGTTAAATTGTGGGAAGAACTTGACTCCAAAATTGGCTGAGCATAACAAATACTTGTTTGTAGCAAAAAGTGATGCAGAAAAACTATGATTTCATATCAAAAGCAAAATGATACAACTAGGTTACGAACCTGCAATCGCATATTTGATATTATAGAACTGGCTGAGGCTGGCACCAAGCCATTTTGCGAACTATTTGTCTGCCACTTGTCGGATGAAAAATTCAGTGCATGCTTTACATTTTTTCAAGCACCAAATAGCACACTGTTCTGTTACTCTAACATGCCCATGTTCTTTGTAGGTTTGTTGGCCGCAGTTGTTGCTAAATTGCCTACGACATTCATTGTAACCGGAGGTGCAGAAACTAGCATGGGATGTGATTGTGGTTAACGAGGAATGTGTTTTTATTTGTTTGTTCTCTCAAATGACTTTTCGCTAGGGGGCACATGTACTGATTTATTGCATTTATTATTCACAGGTTGACCATTGTACCTATGACCATTTGGGAAGAATTTGTGACCAAACATGGTGTATAAATTGACAGGCTGCTACAGATGGGTGAATACCCCATTATGTTCTTGAGCAAGGCTAGCGTGAACATTTATCAAGGTTATATTTCTTCAGCTTTCCACCTAATATTTTCATGTAATGTCGCATCTCTCATGTTTTTCTTGACTCCAGGGATGACGTTAGTAACTCACTATGATTCGAGCATGGAAATCAACCCTGGCAGTGCACGCGCTTTGTCACTGAAAAAATGGTGGATTTCTGGACTGTGGCTGCTGATTAGTTGCTTTTGTTGGTGATTCATATATCTCAGCATCTCTCTACCCATGTATGACATAAGTTTTGCATGTTGCCAGGGTCACGGAGAACAAAGGAAAGATCAAAGAACTGGTGCTTGAAAAACAATATGCCCACGCTCTGGCCAACATTGCTAACCCCCTTTCACAGCCACATATAGCTCTGATGTCCATAGAAGTTGAACTCAATAAGGTCTGTGCTGCCATCATGTGTGAACATTTATCTGCCAACTAGCCTATGTTAATTGTGTTTGTGATTGCAGGTCCCACTCGTGTGGGTGTGTGGCAAACTGAACTTGGCAGACAATTCTGCTGAAGCATTTTATATTTGTTGTGATTAATGCAACCGTCGGGTTTATGCGCTAGAATTCTTTCCACTGTATGTTCTGTGGTCAAAAGCAAGGAGAGGCAGTCAAGAGGTGCGTGCCTCACGTCACAAATGCCTGTCGTGATGTCCTGCACTATGGAGAAACAACCATTTTTTAGACTTATTGATGTGTTAGCCTTTGTACAGGTTTATCCTGAACGCATTGTTGACTGACAATTCCAGCAGCATCCATGTTACATTGTTCACCCATGACACATAGAAGCTTTGTAGTTGTAATACCCCGAAATCGGGTCTAGCCGGTAACCTAATATTGAATTAATAATCCTTCTTATAAATTCCTAACCGTTGAATTATTATTAACTAGACAATGAATATTAATAATTAAAATAGAAACTAAATAAATGTAAAATATAAGTGTGACATTTAGGACACTTCGTAATCAAATTTTGGGATCAAAAGCAAACCTGTTCAAAATGAGTGGTAGGTACTGCTACATAATTTGAAGTATAGTAATTCAAACAAAACCTTCTGATCATGACCCACCCACTTGGCTTCAAATGAAAAATCTTACCCCTGCCCTATACGTATAACAGGTTGTCCTAACCTGCATGAAAAAATTACACCTGGAGACCTAACTGGCCACTTCTATGATCGATCAGACATATATTGTCCTAATATGCATGCCAATCTCCACATGGAAGCCTCACAATACCCCTTATATACGTGTTATAAGCTAATAAGCATGTGATGAGGGCTGGAGCGTAGCACTAATTTGGCTTCATCCACGTTCAAGGAAGGGGCTAGCATTTATAGGTGGCCATAGACTTATACACAACCTATTCAAAAACTTTTCCCTTGCTCTTCGTAAGTGGCTGGGTAAAAATATATATACTCGTACATAAACTAACTTATAGAAAGAGACTAGTAGCTAGCTATGTTGAAGAATCGGTGCGGCAAAGAGGAGCTCCCAGCCTAGTTTATTTCGTATAAGTTCTTTTAATTTCTATAAGGTCAGTACGTTTCCATCCCGGCCATTTAGATTATTGTGTTTATTTCCGTCCCCGTTTCCCGTTGCGTTATGGGGATAATGAACATTATATAGCCTTAGTTCTTTGTATGTTCTCAGAATGTGTTTTTTTTAGAATTATTGATTACGAGTGCATAATTGTATATGATAGTAATTACTTTTTCTTTTTGCAATATGGAAGTCATCTAGAAATAAGTACAGTTGTGAAATTAAGAAGAAAAATACGTTAAAACTAACGGTTAGACCTATAACCACGGTTTTTGCATGATACATAACTATATGGAATATAGGTTATAATAGGTCAGAGATGCATGCAAGTATTACTTAATGAGTTGTTACTAATTTATGATAAATAACACGTTACGTAGTAGTATGTGTTATTTAGTGTTATGGTTTAATTGTTAATCATTTGAGAATTAATTTGATATATGGACCAATTAGTCAAATTTAAGAATAAATTTTGGATATTATTAAGTGATAAATGATCCTTAAAATTTTGACCTGGCTAAGTAGGATAAATGACTGCACGTGTGTATACCAAGCTACTAGAAGCATGCACGTACTACTTGTATTAATTAAAAGTATCTATTTGTTCTATAAATCTATATACACACGAATGAAGAAATTAAGAAATTACGGGACTCTGAAGGGTACGAAATGGATCTCACACGTATACACATACATGTTATTAATTTAGTATACGTATTTATTGTTGAGCATACACATGTTACTTTCATACTCCGTATAT